ACTACTTCAAACGCCGGTCTCCCCCGATTGCGATCGCGTGCACAAAAAAGGTCAATGCCCATGCCCACAGTGCAAAACTTTCAGCACATCTAACGGACACGAGCAACAGCAATCAGGAAAATGCAACACTTAGGAACTTTATTTTGGAGCTAAATGACTTTATAAACTTTATAAACAATGTAGATCTCGATATATACCAGATCTCCCTATTATCGAAGAATGACTTATATAATTTTTTCCAAAAAGAAAATAACACTGCATACCAAGAATTGGCAATTTCCGCGGTTAGGTCAAATAATCCCACGCTTGATACGTATGGCAACCTCAACCAAAAAAAAAAAAAATTTTAACTCCCTGATAAAGGAGCGACTGGACGCCGAAACGCGTATGTGGAAACATTTAATAATATATAATTTATTATTAGATTGATTATGACGGTCTGAATAATCCGCAAAAAATAGAGAACGAAACTAGAAAATAAATTTTCGAACACATCAGTGACCGTACACGAGATACAAATATTTAACGATGCCGAACAACTTCAATAACAGCCCACAATAGCGTAAAATGCCATATTAAAAATAAAACCCTCAGAATCACAAAATTGACAGTTCATCGCGGTTCAGAAAAAGTACTCCACAAACAAATCAAAATGTCCCGTGTACGTATTATTTCCAAATCAGGCTTCAAAAATGGAAAACAGTCGCACTGCTGGGTATACAGGACCAACACATCAAAGGGTCAATCACTTTTCACATGAAGAAGTCTATCTCTCCACGACATACAAGAATATCATAACATTACGTTGTCGGAGTCAGGTAAAACAATTTAATTATTTATCGACACGGGTGCTACAAAAATAACACAGTCATTGACATTTAAAACCATATCGACCGCAACACCTCCCACCGCTTCTACTCGACAGCCATACCAACAATTCATTTAAAAAACAAGTAAGAGGTTCTAGTCGGGAGCTTCCGACTAGGGAATACCCTGAACCCTCTTCTTCTTGTATACACCAAATGCAGCTCGCGCTACGCGATCGTTTGCTTTAGCAGTAATAAAGAGCAGTAATAAAATAAAAAAAAAAAGTTCCTTGGCAGGGTTGAACTTGCAACTGACCGCATTACTTGCTGCAGCATCTACAAAATATCCACACCAGCCGAAAAAAAAAATAGTTTCCTCGGCAGGGTTCGAGCTCGTAACTGACCGCGCTACTTTTCGCCGCCTCTACTCAATAGCCACACCAACAATTAAGTGTTTTTGAGAAATAAACATATTAAAATAGCAGCACAGAACAATACAATACAATCGCAATTGCAATGCTGTTGATAGAATTTAAAGCAGAGGCGTATGAATGTGTGTGCGTACATGTATACAGAAATTCTTGGAATTTGCGCTTGCTGCTGCACGTGTTTGCAGGCCAAAACACATTTTCTTTCGTGTTTCTTAACCGATCTTGATGAAATTTTCAGTAGTATATGTTATTGTACTATTAAATATTCGTGTGTTCTCAAAATGACAATTGCATTTAAATTTTGGCTTAATTAGATAGGCAATACAAGTTGGTTTACTAACATGATTTATAGCATTGTGGTGGTAGCGGGGAGGTGGCGATAGCTATAAAATGAAAGATACTTGATATATTTATACTATTCTAGAAGCTAAATGTCAAGTTTGGTGACTAGTTCATATTATTTACCAAAATTGCTCAAACAGGATTCCGATATCGATTTTTATCGATTACTTGGAAATTGGGCAAGCTATCGATTATCTCAAACAAACTCGATCCGCGCATGGACTAGGAGCATCCACAGCTAAAATTTCAAGCCTCTAGCTCTTATAGGTTCTGATATCCTTGCGTTCATACATACGGACGGACGCAGCTACGCGCCAAAATTACAAGCATAAAAATAAACAAGTAAAAGGTTCAAGTCGGGAGTTCCCGACTAGGGGATACCCTGAACCCTCTTATTCCAACCCCAAATGCAGCTCGCGCTACGCGCTCGTTTGCACTTGTAGTAATAAAGATAAATTAAAAAAAAAGTTTCCTTGGCAGGGTTCGAACTCGCAACTGACCGCATTACTTGCTGCTGCCTCTGCTCAACAGCCACACCAGCCAAAAAAAAAAAATTTGTCTTTTCGATAGGGTTCGAACTCGCAACTCACCGCACTAGTTACCACCGCCTCTACTCAACAGCCAAGCCAATAATTGACTTTTGATGAGAAAAAAATGAATTAAAATAGCAGCACAGAAAACAATACAATCGCAATTGCAATGCTGTTGATAGAATTTCCGAAAAATTTACTTTTGTTCATGCAACCTTTGACTGGTTTTTTTCATTTAAAAAAGACGGAATTTGCCTTAAGTAATCAATGATATTTAAAAAATTAGTTTGAAGCCGGTCAGATGGTAAGGTAAAAGTTAAAAAAATTCCAAAATTACTAAATCCCGTAGTTAATACGTTTTTATTCGCATTTAGAACCTGTGACCACTATTTTTCTACCAGGGGGATGGATTATCAAAAAGATATGAAACACGTCTCAAATGAAATATTTGAAATCAAAATATTATCAAAATTGAACTTTATATCTTAATATCGTTGGAGCTAAAGAAGAGTTTTTATATCATTGCAGAGGGTATTATAATTTTGTCATATAGCTGCCATAGGAACCTTGACCAAACTCGGCAATTATAAGTTCCACTGTGCTCTCTAATTTTATTCAAAATCTTATTTACATCGGCGTACTATATCATATAACTGCCTTAGGAACGATCGGTCGAAAATTAGTTTCTTGAATGAAAAACTTATTCTCTTTCCAGATATTTTAACCATACTTGGCATTAACTATTTTCCGGGGGCTTCAAAGATACGGGCAAAGCATTATGAGTATTATTAATAGGTTGGGTCTGCAAGGGTATTGAAACTTCGACGTGCAGATGATGGCCCTTCTTTCTCCTTCGATTAACAACTTCGGACTATTGTATTAAATAAATCCGAAAGAAAAAATCGGAAGAAAAAAGTTTCAGTATGTAAACACTGTAAAGAATTTAAATATACAACACATCTGCTATATATTTGCTAGAGTATTAAGTCTTCGTCATGTCAAACATAATTGATACACGCTTGTAGAGGGTATTAAAATGTTGTCAACATTTTTAAAATCCTCGCCAAAAATCTGTGCAAAATTTTACAAATATGTACATACCAATTAAAAGGACCAAGCCTAACTTGTACAAATGTGTAAACTTTTCTTTACAATGGTCACGTTTTTGCATTGCAATATTATGCTATACGTTCTTCTGAAGAGTGGTTACGTACTGACGTATTATATTTTGTGATTTTCATGTAAAAAGTGGAGCAGACAAAATGCAAGGATGGGGTGCTAAATTATCCAATTCGAACGCGCTTTGTTATTGCCTTGTTTTTATACCATTGTAGAGGGTTTTTTAATGTTGTCATTAAATGGGTAACGAATAGGACACCTCCGATCCATAAACTATATACATTCTTGATTAGCACCAACAGTGCTCCTCTTGCTTATGAGCAAAATAATAAATACACTGGACAGCTTACTAAAATTTTACCATCATCAAACTATTATATCACAAGCTGCAATAGGAACGATCATATAGCTCTATAGAACGCATCGTTCGAAAAAGTCCGCAAATTTATCAATAATTTTGAAGTTGGTTACTATGATATGTACATACATACACTAAATAATGTTTAAACGTACCCAAAGCTTCAAATATTAGATGGCCATATAAACTTATTTCTTTTGAATTACAGGTTCTAATTATAATTGTCAACCATACATTCGCTTTATCGTGAAAAATATTTGGGAATTGGTTGAGATATTTTATAAGAAAACGCAATCCGATCGATCGAGTTTTGGTTTTGAGCAGCAGTAGAGTAATTGATTGAGCCTGCGATGCCGCGCTCTAGAATAAAATTGTTTTTCCATAAATGTTTTCATCTTTGTTCTTTAAACTCACAGCTCCGTTATAATTCTGGTCCAGCACATTTGGGTTAACATTTTGGTCCTCTTGAGCAAATGTGTTAAGCATATCACCAGCTCGAAACATTTCATAAAACACGTGCGGACTACTGATCCAAAATTTAACTGTTGGATTTCAACATGTTTCTTGACTCCTGTTCTTTTTTGCACGTGTGTCAAATTAGCAACGGTGACCTAGTGTCGATTTTTGGAACTTAGTTCCGGAACCGGAATCAATCACTTTGAAATGCATTTATTTGTTGTGAAGCAAACAACCAAATAAGATGTTGAAAATTGCAATGTAGAATTATACAAAACGAAATTATTCATATCAATTGTCTTTGAATTTCAACATATTTTATGGAAAAACCAACACGTTAAGAAATTGTGTTTCTACTATTCTTTAAATAACTTAATACAGGAATAATGACCCCAAAAACCGCATGCATCCGATTAAAGCCTATAGTTTTACCTAACTAATCTTAAAAACCAATTTAATCGATCAGATCGTTTTTGAGATTTATGTACAACAGTGCACTAACCTCATTGCTAGTCCCATACAAAACGACCGTAAAATCCACTGCTTGAATGTGTGTGTGTGCATGTATACAGAAATTCTTGGAATTTGCGCTTGCTGCTGCACGTGTTTGCAGGCCAAAACACATTTTCTTTCGTGTTTCTTAACCGATCTTGATGAAATTTTCAGTAGTATATCTTATTGTACTATTAAATATTCGTGTATTCTCAAAATGAGAATTGCATTTAAATTGTGGTTAATTAGATAGGCAATACAAATTGGCTTACTAACATGATTTATAGCTTTGTGGTGGTAACGGGGAGGTGGCGATAGCTATAAAATGAAAGATACTTGATATATATATCCTATTCTAGAAGCTAAATGTCAAGTTTGGTGACTAGTTCATATTATTTACCAAAATTGCTCAAAAAACAGGTTTTCGATACCTATTTTTATCGATTACTTGGAAACGGGGCAAGTTCTCGAATATCGGAAACAAACTCGATCTGCGCATGGACTAGGAGGACCTTCAGCTAAAATTTCAGTTCTTATAGGTTCTGAGATCCTTGCGTTCATACATGCGGACAGACGGACGGACGGACGTTCGGACAGACAGACGGACATGGCTAAATCGATTCGGCTGTTGATGCTGATCAAGAATATATATACTTTATGGGGTCGGAGATACTTCCTTCTTCCTGTTACATATATTTGCACAAATACATTATACCCTTTTTACCCATTTTCAATGGGTTCAGGTAATAAAAAAAACACTATTAATCCATTTTAGTTTTCTCCAGACTCCTGGCTCCAGACTCAGGCATGCCCGCCCTGCCTGAGTCGGACTCTTAATCCTCGTCTCCCTCATATTGGCCTACATCAGCCTGCGTCGGCAGTCATGCCTTCCAATGGAAGGACTTAACGGAACGGACTCACTCAATTAGGGTTGGTTGGGTTCCGCCCGTTGCAGCTCGCATCATTGTCTTTCTTTTTGCGCCGCTTAAACTTTTTGTGTTTTCATTTTGAGTTATTAAAACGAATCTTGGTTTTTTTTATAGTTTTATCTGTTTGCCCGACACAATCTTTTTTACTGAATGCTTATTCGATTTTACTCCCAATACCCCGACGCTGCCGATAATATCAAATGAAACAACACCAGATTATTGTAAAGACATAGACAAAAATAAACGCTGCACTGAACAAAAGGCGGGCACTGCTACTGCCAACTTCTGACGAGGAGGTGAGCATACTAGTTTTATAGCCGTAAATCCTTTGCGTGAAATACTCCTAACACGCGTCTCTGCAGCTCTTCTAAATCGTAGGCGTTGGCGCCTACAGCTCGAACGACGCGCCTATTTAGAAACTTCCGGGCAAACTTGGCTTGGCAACTTCGATCGCATGCAGTGTGCAGGTAACTTGACCTCGGATTCCAGGATTCTTACCAGCTTATAGCTGGAACCATTCAAGTACATGTGCTGACGAAATACCGCGACGAAGGGAGTCACCCCCGTAGCGCTATGAACCGCATTCCGAATCGCCACCTCAGGTAGGTGCGCATCCTAATCCTTATGATTCTGATCCATATATTCCATGACCGACTGTACCGTTCGGATTTTTGAGGTGAGTACACGGGGGAGAATGTCTAATGCCTCTATTGCCTCAAATGACTTGGATATGAACTGCCACCCATTATACGGGTGGATCACCTCAGGCATGCCGAATTTGAAAAACACTTCATGCACCAGGATGTTCATAACTTCTGCTTCGCTGTCTTCTCTCATGGCCTTCAGGAACGTAAACTTCGAGAAGTGGTCTAAGGTGATGAATAAATTTCCCCAGAATATCTTCAATGGGCATTGGAAGTTCAGAGGAACTTCACTCGGAACACAAAGTCCTCGCCGAAGTTCATAGCGTCCTCACCGTCAAACGACGTTATACCGTTCGCCTTTTTCTGTACGTTGGCATACGCTTCCTCCGGCCGACAGTCATCCACTCTCCGCTCTTCTGCCCGGAAGTGACGATTATTAGAGTTAGGCAGTCCCTTGCCATCTGTGTTGAAGACTGGGCTGCTGGACGAATAATCTGCTTCATGCGTGCCTTGCCTCAGTGGCTTCGGTACCACCGAAAACGTAGTGAAAACGTTCAATTCTGGAAACCTTCGCGATCCTTCGATGGCGCCCGCTTTCGGATCCGGCACGATGGGTCTCGGTTGCGCCGGCGCAGCGTTGGGCTCTCCGGCATGGCTCCCTGGCGTCCTGAGCACATCGATGATGCCCTTCATCATCTCCATGAAGGCTGCCCGCTGGACTCTCTGATGCCGGATGGTATGATAGGTGTGATAGGTATGATAGGACATTAAAGGTCTGATCCGACTCAAATTGGCAATGGTAGAGATCTTGTCGCAACGACGGCCAGTGAGACCTTCACATTTAGGATGGATCATATTCTCATACAACCAACAATTAATAAATTGCGACTATGTAAAAAGTGCAAGGTTTATTGCAGCACTGCATAATGGCAAATGGGATTTGACGAAAAGAAAGCTGCGAGAGCGCAAAACGAAAACAAATAACGGCGAACAAAAATAGAACAAGCAGTACCAAAATCTGGCGAGAGCGCGATGCACAAGAAGAATATGCACAAGCGAACATACGCACAAGCAAGTGCATGCCAGGGGAGCGCCAAAAAAAAGAAAAATGCTCAAAACAAAATTAACAACGACGCTAGACTGACACCACGGTTGATATATGTAATAATTTACAAACTTACCCTGCACAACAGATAACACTATTCACAAGGTTCAAATCCTTTTTATTTCATTAAATAAAGCACGTAAACTAGAGATATATAACTGAAATAAAGGCTTAGAAACACAAAAAAAATATAAAAATTGTAGAGCACAAATAAAGCACATTAATCACACTCAAACTGAGAGCTCTTTCTGCATATGAGAGTGTTTAGTATTTGTATTTCTCCTGCGAAGATTCAGACGATAAAAACGTTGTTTAGAGTCAATCATTTAAAAAAAATCAACAATAGAACAACTAGAAGCCTTTAAACTTTAAATGAAGGAGATACTAGCCTTCCAAGACTCGAAAAAGCCAAAGCCAATAGATTTTCGTGGCAGACGCCTTCTCCCGCCAGAAATTAACGCCCCAGACTCAGATGTGGCCACAATGAGGAATCTCTTTCAAACACGATAGTGACAACAGAAAACCGGTAAACTGTTTTAGGATCCCATTAGTCATTGAAGAAAATAGCACCCGTTCAGTAAAAAGTTAATTTGTATACCCTGAACCCATTAAAAATGGGTAAAAAGGGTATAATGTATTTGTGCAAATGTATGTAACAGGCAGAAGGAAGCATCTCCGACCCCATAAAGTATATATATTCTCGATCAGCATCAATAGCCGAGTCGATCTACCCATGTCCGTCTGCTCGTATGCATGAACGCAAGGATCTCAGAACCTATAAGAGCTAGAGACTTGTAATCGATAAAAATAAATATCAAAAACCTGTTTTTTGAGCAATTTGCGTAAATCTAAGAGCTAGAGTCACCAAACTTGACATGTAGCTTCTAGAATAGTATATACATATATCATTTATATGTATATATCAAGTATCTTTCATTTTAAAACTATCACCACCTCCCCGTTACTACCGCATAGCTATAAATCAAGTAAATAGACCAATCTATGCTGCCCACCCATATAAGCAAATATAATAATGGAATTGACTTTTTGAGAATGCACAAATATTCTATGGCACATTTAGATGTACTGTAATCAAGATCCGTTAAGAAACACAGAAATTATTAAAGGAAACGTGTTTTGGCTTTCCTCGTATCAGCGGCCGCAAGCGAAAATTCCTGTATACATATACACATTCATGCGCGTCCGCTTTAATTTCTATCAACAGCATTTCAATTGCGTATGTATTGTTTTCTGTGCTGCTATTTTAATTCGTTTTTTCTCAATAAGACTCAATTATTGGTGTGGCTGTTGAGTAGGAGCGGCAAGTAGTGCTGTCTGTTGCGAGTTCGAACCCTGCCAAGGGAAATTATTTTTTTTTTAAATTTATCTTTCTTACTACTAAAGCAAACGAGAGAGTTGCGCAAGCTTCATTTGGGGTTGGAATAAGAGGGTTCAGGGTATCCCCTGGTCAGGAGCTCCCGACTAGAAGCTCTTACTTGTTTTAAAAAAAAATTGTCATGTCATTCAATATTTCAGACCGAAAGACTCCTACAAATGTTACAAGACGTTGTGAAAGCGCATGTATTCAACGCGATACATTACGAGCTGCCAGTATTAGCCTTAACCCAAAACAAGCACATAAGTTGAAGCATTCCCTTCAACCACAATCAGATCCTCTAAAAATATTATCATAGATTGCCACGACAGAGCATAGCTGAGCTCATTGCGCAGCTCAAAAGAACACAGAACAGATATTTCGTAATTATTTTATCCCTAAAATGAACCCGTTAGCAACGGAAATAGCCGCATATTTTTGGGTTTGTACCGTGAATAAATGCAATAGTCACCCTCATCAATCGATGAGCAGAGTTCGAATACCTTCCAATGCTGGACTAATACTTCATGTTGACGTCTATTCCACGGATAGGAAATATTTTTTTCTTATCCTGCGTTGACTTCTTTTCTTAATTTGGAGTAGCCCAAGCTTTTGATTCACGTACAATCGTGGACATTTAAGTTCTGATCCTTCAATTATTAAACCAATTGACTGTGACAATGAAGTTGCCAAATTCCGAAACCGTAAGGCAAATTCTGATGAACAATATTAACATTCAGGTCTAAATCCAATACAACTCGCGGGCACGTCCAGTTAGGAGTAGGTGAAAACCACGCAGGATTTTCTTCATCGGGCATTAATATTGCCTCTGCAGGAACTTCACTCGGACCACAATGTCCTCGACGAAGTTCATGGCGTCCTCGCCGTCAAACCTGACGTTATTCCGCTCGAGCTTGAGATACTCCGTTTCCTGTACGTTGGCATACGCTTCCTCCGGCCGGCAGTCATCCACTCTCCGCTCTTCTTCCCGGAATTTCGATGAACAATATTAACATTCAGGTCTAAATGGCACCACCTCTGCATTGAACCTCTAACGGACAGGTCGAGCGGTTCCCTTGTACCCTCTGAGATATAGGCCGTTGATTGTAAATAATAAAAAAAATAATAAACATTTAACTGATACTATCGATATCATCCTCATTGTAACCGTAAGGCCGCAATGTGCGTCTAATTAGTGGCGGTGAATTAGCGTCGATTTTTGGTACTTGGTATTGGAAAACGAATCACTTACTTTTAAATGCTTGTAATTATTTTTTTAAGCACAAACTAAATACATTTAAATGCAGAATTGCAAAAAATTCAATTATTTACTGCATACCTTTATTTGTTTTTTAATTTCAGCATATAATATGGGTAAACAAAGGGGTTGAAAAATTAGGTTTCCACCATTTTTTAGGTATCTTAATTCAGGGATAATGGCCCCGAAAACCTTATAAGCACGATTAAAGATCTTTAAGATATTTGTAAAACAGTGCAGCAACCTCGTTGCTAGCCCCATACAAAATGACCCCATACAATTACGCATTAATTCGAAACAAATCAATCAGCCAGTTATTTAGAAAAATAATAAAATGTGAACACACCTTTGTTGTTCATTCAAAAGGCCTATCAAATTACTAGCTCCAACGGGACCCGAACCACTGCTTGGAATCAGTCTTAAATAATTTTATGCAGTATTGACCGGGAACAAATTAATTCAAATTATTTGTATATATGTGTTACGGAACTGCTTGTTTCTCTGTGGGCCGCGCCGGCTGGCTCATCGGTCCTCTGGGTGTAGTCCCATCCCTTGCCCGCAGTCCGCACAATGGATATCAACAAAACTACAACGTCTGTAGCAAAACAGACCTACCACTATTCAAAATGAACCACATAATCGATAACAACAAACAGCCGGAACTATTGACAATGAACAACACTAACAGCTGTAACAACAAGAAAATGTAAACAATGTCCGGTTCCGGACCCAGCGTACACGCCTTACCTGAGACGATCACCTGATCTCGTCTCCCTCATTTTGGCCACTAGATGGCCTGCATCAGCCCGTCGGCTATCATGCCCCCTCTCCCCATCAATTGAGACTAAGCCGGACATTTCTCTCTTCAGTAGGTGCGTATAATTGGTTGCGTTTCTTATAATTACTAACAATTTTAACATCTCTTATCTCCTACTTTCCCAGGGTATCCCCGTTCTGCAATTTAGGATTCCAAGCAAGCTGCCTTCAGCTCGTCAACAGGTGCGTTCATTCTTTGCTTTGCCTTATAATTATCACAATTGATCTTAATTTTTAAAAATTAATTTTTCTTACAGAATACATTCGTTTTTTAACAACATTAAATTGAACAGGCGACGAAAACACTGCTGAAGTTATTGCCAGTCAACAAAAAAAAAACAAGGGGAAGATACAAACACCAGGCAATTATTGCACCAATTGGAGAGCAAGTGACCGATCATAATGGGTAATCTGCACATATGGTGCATGACATATATATACATATAAGCGGATATTGCTCGTGCACGAATTAACAAAAATCTAATTATTTTCTTTTTTTATTTATTTGGCAGACGTAATAATCTTTGGGGCCTTTCCTTCACTGTTCACACTTTCGGAAATTTTCTTAAGTGAAACTAGGCGTAAGTACAGGTATATATTTATACAAGAGAACTAATACTAATGATGGCAAAAAAAACCTTTTCTTAGTCAGGGGTCTCGAACATGAGTTTACGTCTGACTCTGCCTGCTACTCGGGGCGAAGAAGGATGACATAGAACTGACTCACTCGGATGATGCTGGCGGGGTCTCACCCGTGGCCGCTTCTTAACCTATCCTCCTGGATAGCGTCGATGATCAGTACGCCGAAGGTATGGCTGACGTGTGCCGCTGCGTCGAAACCTGGCCTGGGTGTAACTATGTTGGCCTCTCTGGTCCGAGAGCTGGTCCCTTCGTTGCCGAAACCGTGGGTCGTTTCTTTTATTAATTGTCTCTTTTTTTTTATTTGTTCGTCCCGTGTCGCATGTAAGTTTTAATTTTTTTTTAATTTTTGTATATCGTGACACAATGTTTAAATTCATGTTTCATTATTAAACAGCAAAAATATTCATTGTTAATTTTAATTTGTACGCGTCTAGTCAGCTGGCCGGTTAGATAACTTTTCTAGAATATCTTTATATGGAGCCGACATGTAAAAAGAAGAACTTTAAATTCGCCTCGAGCACGGCACGCCCGCCGTTGACCGCTTTCAAAATCGAACTCCTGCTGAACGTTTGGGCAGCAACAGCATCCGATCCGCTCTCCCCCTAATCTCTCTATGAGCGGATCGGTTGCCCAATCATGATCGCTCAATGTCGTAACCCCTCCCAGCGCAGTGTATCGCAAGCCGGGCGTTGCCACTTTTCAATTAATTGGCACCGCTGTGTGCCCGGTTTCACTCCTGCTACTCTGCTCCTACGATAAAAATATATCGGCGTGGCAGTTAAAAAAGAACGCAGCCAACTAGGAAAACTATCAATTCTGCCAATAATGTCAAATACAACATATGAAAGAAATGAAGACTTTAAAATAATTGACATACAATAAAACATTATCTTTTGGCCAAGACTGCTGCTAAAGAAGGCAACAGTGCATATATTTATTTATATACAGTATTATAACAAAAAGGGGGCAATATGTGCCGATAATATCCGATAATGGCCCTGCACGGTAGTTTTTCATATAGACCGCATATTAAAAATCATTTTGCTTTTTAAATTAATGAAAATCGTCCAGCCAGTTTTTAAGAAATTCTCATCTTTCTTCTTTTCTCATTATGCCCTATGTTATTGCAAAAAAAAACTAGCTGTCAATATTTAACATTTTTATTCATTAAAATGGTGGCAATATTTCAACTAATTTCAACCTATATTTATTAATTTCTCCGATCATGGCCGTAAATGCACGGTTGGTTAACATAAAGACTGCGAATTATCAATCATTTTGCTTTTTAATTTAAGAAAATCGTCCAGGTAGTTTTTAAGAAATTCTCATTTTTCTATTTTGCTCATTATATTATTATGTTATTGCAAAACAAACAATATTTATTGAACATTATTATTAGTTAAAATGGTAGCAATATTTCAACATATATCTACCAAATGGTGGCAATATTTTTTTGGAACGGTGCTTAACTAAATAAGTTGGCAATATTTTGAATTGAGAAATGGACCTGACGAGTCACCAACAAAAGCATGCCTCAACAAGCTAAAACAAAAAGGACTCGGCTAATTAAGCCTTGCCAGCCCAAAACTATAAGCTATGCTGCATTATAAGGGCTCATCGGAGTAAAATAAAACAAGTAAGAGGTTCTAGGCGGGAGCTCCCGACTAGGGGATACCCTGAACCCTCTTCTTTCAACACCAAATGCACCAAAAAATAAAATAAAACAAGTAAGAGGTTCTAGTTGGGAGCGGCCCGACTAGGAGATACCCTGAACCCTCTTCTTCCGACAAGCGATAGGTATAAAATATAAAATACTTGATATATATATGTACTATTCTAGAAGCTACATGTCATGTTTGGTGACTCTAGCTCATATTATATGACGAAATAAACATACAGCTAAAATTTCAGTCTCTAGCTATTATAGATTCTGAGATCCTTGCGTTCATACATACGGACAGACGGATGGACAGACGGACAGACAGACGAACATGGCTAGATCGACTCGGCTGTTGATGCTGATTAAGAAAATATATACTTTATGGGGACAGATATGCTTCCTTCTGCCTGTAACATACATTTGCACAAATACATTATACCCATTTTTAATGGGTTCAGGGTATAACAATGGACGCGCAGCTTCAGCGCCTTACGGCTGAGGTGGCAAATCTAAAGGCAAAACAGGCGCCGCAGATGCCACCGGCTCCACAGCCACAGAAGCCACAGTAAATTCCAAAGCCACAGCAGATGCCACAGCCGCATCAGCTATGGATGCAGCCACAGAAGCCGCAGCAACCATGGGTGCAGCAATGGATGCAGCCACAGCAGATGCCACAGCCACAGTAGCCATGGACGCAGTTACGTGGCATACGAATACATGGCCCAATAAAAAACTATAAATGTATATATATATTATATTTATATTAATAAACTATATAAAATAAAATAACAATAAAAAAAAAACGTTTTAAGTACTTTTTTTTATTAAAATTGATTAGAAATTCCCGCAAGCTTGGGAAAAAGATTAAAATGCATGGAATTAAAGCTAGAACCATCTAGCATGGCAATTGTGCAGTATATCACTTGAATTGCATTTTTGTATACACTAAGCGCCAATTTTTTAGATACTGCCAACTTATGATTATGCTAGCATACAAGAACACAAAGTTGACAGCCTGTGAAAATAAGTGATTAATTAAAATATCGGTTACTCTTTTACGCATTTTTGTGTTCTTTTATATTTTTATATTCAAGGGTCCATGACACTGGCATTCACTTATGAGGAATGCCGGCTACAATTATCATTTCAACTGAGTGGCAACAGCGCCTGTGGCATGGAATTGCACGATAGACACTAAAACATTTCCACTTTCTTTTCAGTGATGGCTCTGTGCACATTATTAAGGCCAACTGTTATATGGAGACACGTGCGCTCTGCGTGCAGATAAACAAATGGTGGATATGGTGCACTATACCACCGGTGGTAAGCTATACGAAAATAAACCTCGTATAAGAAATATCCGCCGTAAGTCGATCGACTTTGTTTGTACGGGTTTGGAAACAGGGTATCTTTTAATCGTGCACACTTATTTAATCGATTCTCTTCTAGGTGAAAGTTGATGTCTAAAAACTTGAATAAATGAAATATTTTGTGAGAAACTGGGCTATGACTTTTATAATACATTAATAGCTACGACAAATGAAGTCCAATCTTGGAAAGATTTTTGGACTGATAAAACTCGACAGTCATTTAAATTTGAATTTAAGAAGCGACTGAATTTTCACCCTCTACCATTCTTGATAAACTATTTAAAATTTAGAGTTTGATTTTTTAAAGTTTAAAGTTATTTAACACTTTTCTTTTCTATCAGGAGGTAAATGCGTCGAAACAGGCTCCGGCGCCAGCACAGCTGAACCGGCCAACTGGATGGGTCTGTCGGCTAACGTTGACGTAGCTAACGCTGCAAAGTTGAAATAGAATCGGGACTGCACAACCCATTAAAAATGGGTAAAAACAGTATAATGTATTTGTGCAAATGTATGTAACAGGCAGAAGGAAGCATCTCCGACCCCATAAAGTATATATATTCTTGATCAGCATCAATAGCCGAGTCGATCTAGCCGTGTCCGTCTGTCTGTCCATTCGTCCGTCCGCCCGTATGTATGAACGCAAGGATCTCAGAACCTATAAGAGCTAGAGACTTAAAATTGTAGCTGTAGGTCTTCCTAGTGCCCGCGCAGATCGAGTTTGTTTTGTGATATTGGATAACTTACTCCATTTCCAAGCAATCGATATATAGCGATATCGAAATCCTGATTTTTTAGTAAATTGGGTAAATAATAAGAGCTAGTGTCACCAAACTTGACATGTAGCTTCTAGAATAGTATATATATATCAAGTATCTTTCATTTTATACCTATCGCCACCTCCCCGCTACCACCGCAAAGCCATAAATCAAGTTAATAATCTAACTTGTATTGCCTATCAATTTAAGCCACAATTTGTATGCAATTGACTTTTTGAGAATACCCGAATATTTAATAGCGCAATAAGATGTGGATACTGTAGAAAATTTCATCAAGATCGGCTAAGAAATACATTATTAAAGAAAACGTGTTTTGGCTTTCCTCGTATCAGCAGCAGCAAGCGCAAATTCCAAGAATTTCTGTATAGATGTATACACACACACACTAATGCGCATCTGCTTTAAATTCTATCAACAGCATTTCAATTGCGATTGTATTGTTTTCTGTGCTGCTATTTTAATTAGTTGTTTTCTCATAAAGGACTGACTTACTGGTAATCAACGCACAGCCCAAACCGTTAGAGCTAGGAAGCTGAAATAATGATAATAATGTAGTTCCCTTATGTGATTTAGGTGCACGTTAAGACGGGGTTTCGGGAAATTCCACCCGCAAGTGTGGAAAAATCGCGAAAATCGTTTGTATGTAACTTTTTTGTTTACCATCCGATCGGCCCCAAACTTATTATCAAAGATCTATGTTCAAATTAATTTGAGGGGTATTTCACACTTTTTGAAAAATCCATTCCTCCTTGGTGCAAATGGGGGTCGAAGATTTGGTGGGTGACGTTTCGCGCTCAAATTCGTTTCCAAAGATCTATAAGAAAAATCATTTGAGTCGTGTTTCACATTTTTCGCAAAATCTAAACTCCTTCGGTGGAAAATGCATTTCAAAGATATTTTTGGTGAATTTTAAGTTTTGTCCGATTTGCATAAAAGGTGTCTGATTCCCGTCCGATCAGTTTCAAAATCATTTTCAGCCGGGTTATACCCGCTAGTATATTATATATAAATAAAAGTTAAAATAATGCTTTAAAAATTTAACAAACAAAACAAAGGTTTGCTAAAGCCATAGAGCAGGCGCTGTTTAGGCTTAGTAAAACGCGCCTTTGTGCAATCGGGATAATATTTGCACCTGATGTTTGCCATGGTCGCCGTCACCGGTCCGGATACTGATATGTAGTTTTGCACAGGTATCACATGCGAGGCTACCAATATAAACAAATTTATTAAAATTTATTAAAACCAATTAAATAAGATTAATAATTGTCATACGTTGCACACTGAATTTACACTTTGGGTGCAAATACATGCACTTGTCGGCAAATTTACATTTGGGGAAGGATTTGCATGGCGCCGATGGATGCAATTGGCTCCGTTACCTTTAAAACTGTTTAATTCACGCTGGCGGCGCTAACTGCGCATAAAGTGAGGAATATGAAATATATTAGTGAAA